GTGTGTGTGACTGTGTGTGACTTTGTGTGTGACTTTGTGTGTATGTGACTGTGTTTATGTGAATGTGTGTGTATGTGACTGTGTATGTGACTTTGTGTGACTGTGTGTGTGTGTGTGACTGTGTGTGTGTGTGTGACTGTGTGTGTGTGTGTGACTGTGTGTGTGTGTATGTGACTGTGTGTATGACTGTGTGTGTGTGACTGTGTGTGTGTGACTGTGTGTGTGTGTGACTGTGTGTATATGACTTTGTGTGTGTGTGACTGTGTGTGTGTGACTGTGTGTGTATGTGACTGTGTGGATGTGACTGTGTGTGTATGTGACTGTGTGTATGTGACTGTGTGTATGTGACTGTGTGTATATGTGACTGTCTGTGACTGTGTGTGTGTGTGTGTGTGTGTGTGTGGTGTGTGTGACTGTGTGTTTATGTGACTGTGTGTGTATGTGACTGTGTGTGACTGTGTGTGTGTTGTGACTGTGTGTGTCTGTGTGTGTGTGTGTGTGTGACTGTGTGTGTGACTGTTTGTATGTGACTGTGTGTATGTGACTGTAGGTATGTGACTGTGTGTGTATGTGACTGTGTGTGTATGTGACTGTGTGTGTGTGTGACTGTGTGTGTGTGTGACTGTGTTTGTGGCTGTGTGTGTATGTGACTGTGTGTGTGTGTGTGTGTGTGTGAACCTGTGTGTGTGTGTGACTGTGTGTGTATGTGACTGTGTGTATGTGACTGTGTGTATGTGACTGTGTGTGTGACAGTGTGTATGTGACTGTGTGTATGTGACTGTGTGTGTGTGTGTGTGTGTGATTGTGTGTGTGTTACTGTGTGTAAATGTGTGACTGTGTGTGTGTGACTGTGTGTGTATGTGACTTTGTGTGTGACTTTGTGTGTATGTGACTGTGTTTATGTGAATGTGTGTGTATGTGACTGTGAATGTGTGTGTATGTGACTGTGTATGTGATTTTGTGTGACTGTGTGTGTATGTGACTGTGTGTATGACTGTGTGTGGGTGTGACTGTGTGTATGTGACTGTGTGTATGTGACTTTGTGTGTGTGTGACTGTGTGTGACTTTGTGTGTGACTTTGTGTGTATGTGACTGTGTTTATGTGAATGTGTGTGTATGTGACTGTGTATGTGACTTTGTGTGACTGTGTGTGTGTGTGACTGTGTGTGTGTATGTGACTGTGTGTATGACTGTGTGTGTGTGACTGTGTGTGTGTGACTGTGTGTATGTGACTGTGTGTATATGACTTTGTGTGTGTGTGACTGTGTCTGTGTGACTGTGTGTGTATGTGACTGTATGTGACTGTGTGTGTATGTGACTGTGTGTATGTGACTGTGTGTGTGACTGTGTGTATGTGACTGTGTGTATATGTGACTGTCTGTGACTGTGTGTGTGTGTGACTGTGTGTTTACGTGACTGTGTGTGTGTGTGACTGTGTGTGACTGTGTGTGTGTGACTGTGGTGTGTGTGTGTGACTGTGTGTGTGTGTGTGACTGTGTGTGTGACTGTTTGTATGTGACTGTGTGTATGTGACTGTAGGTATGTGACTGTGTGTGTATGTGACTGTGTGTGTATGTGACTGTGTGTGTGTGTGACTGTGTGTGTGTGTGTGTGACTGTGTTTGTGGCTGTGTGTGTATGTGACTGTGTGTGTGTGTGTGTGTGTGACTGTGTGTGTATGTGACTGTGTGTATGTGACTGTGTGTATGTGACTGTGTGTATTTGACTTTGTGTATGTGACTGTGTGTGTATGTGACTGTGTGTGTGTGACTGTGTGTGTTTGACTGTGTGTGTATGTGACTGTGTGTATGCGACTGTGTGTGTGTATGTGACTGTGTGTATGTGACTGTGTGTGTGTATGTGACTGTGTGTATTTGACTGTGTGTGTATGTGACTTTGTGTATGTGACTGTGTGTGTGTGGCTGTGTGTGTATGTGACTCTGTGTGTATGTGACTCTGTGTGTATGTGACTGTGTGTGTGTATGTGACTGTGTGTGTGTATGTGACTGTGTGTGTGTATGTGACTGTGTGTGTGTGTGAATGTGTGTGTGTGTGAATGTGACTGTGTGTGAATGTGACTGTGTGTGTGTATGTGACTGTGTGTGTATGTGACTGTGTGTGTATGTGACTGTGTAATTCATCTCCCTTCTTCCTTATTCCTGGTTTAGAGGGAAATATCATTACAGCCAGTCAGTCAGACCCTGGTCTCTCAGATGGGGCTGGCTACTAGCTGGAATGGGATGTAAATGATATGTGAATGGAAGCTGATTACTGAGGAGTAAATTATTAATGTTGTATTGGACATGTCTTTATGCTTTTACTTTGTCAGTTGAAATGGAGTTAAACTGTGACTGGAATATGATCAGCTTGTAAACAGCTTCAATAGCTGGTTCATGGAAGAACTCAACCCTACATTCTCTATCAGCCTCATCACTATTATTCCATGGGCCCTGGTCAGAACTAGGAACCTATAGACAATTGGTTGCCATATAGAGTGTCATTTGGGACCTAGCTAATGCAAAGACATCATGTTCCATTACAGTTCCTGCACCCTATGATGTACATATCTGTCTCTGTCTGTTCTGTCTCTGTCTGTCTCTGTTCTGTCTCTGTCTTCTGTCTCTGTCTTCTGTCTTCGTCTCTGTCTTCTGTCTTCTGTCTTCTGTCTCTGTCTTCTGTCTTCTGTCTCTGTCTTCTGTCTCTGTCTTCTGTCTCTGTCTTCTGTCTATGTCTTCTGTCTTCTGTCTTCTGTCTCTGTCTTCTGTCTTCTGTCTTCTCTTGTCTTCTGTCTTCTGTTCTTTTTCTTCTGTCGTTCTGTCTCTGTCTTCTGTCTCTGTCTTCTGTCTTCTGTCTCTGTCTTCTGTTCTGTCTTCTGTCTTGTTCTGTCTCTGTCTCTTCTTCTGTCTTTGGTCTCTGTTCTGTCTCTGTCTTTTTTCGTCTTTATGTCTTCTGTCTCTGTCTTCTGGTCTTCTCTTCTCTGTCTTCTGTCTTCTGTCTCTCTGTTTTGTCTTTTGTCTTCTGTCTCTGTCTTCTGTCTCTGTCTTCTGTTTTTGTCTCTGTTCTGTTTTTGTCTCGGTCTGTCTTCTGTTCTGTCTCGTTTCCTCTGTCTTCTGTCTGTCTGTCTCTGTCTTCTGTCTTCTGTCTCTGTCTTTCTCTGTCTCTGTCTTTCTGTTCTGTCCTTCTTGTTCTGTCTTCTGTCTGTCTCTGTCTCTGTCTTCTGTCTCTGTCTCTGTCTTCTGTCTCTGTTTTTGTCCTGTCTTTCCTGTCTTCTGTCTCTGTTTCTGTCTCTGTTTCTGTCTCTGTGTTTCTGTCTCTGTCTTGTCGTTCTGTCTTCTGCTTTTCTTATCTTGTCTTCTGTCTTCTATTTCTTCGTCTCGGGCTTCTGTCTCTGTGTTCATCTCTGTTTCTGTCTCTGTCTTATGTCTCTGGCTGTCGTTCTGTCTTCTGTCTCTGTCTTGTCTTCTGTCTCTGTCATTCTTCTCTGTCTTCTTTTAGTTCTGTTCTGTCTCTGCTGTCTCTTTTCTCTCGTGTCTGCTGGTCATCTTGTTATGGTCATATGTCTTCTGTATCTCTTCGGTATCTCTGTCTTGTACTCTGTTTCTGCTCTCTTTGTCTTCTATCTCTCGTCTTCTGTCATCTGTCTTAGGGTCTCTGTCTCTGTCTCTGTCTCTGTTTCTGTCTTCTGTCTTCTGTCCTGTTTCTGTCTTCTTCTGTCGTTCTTGTTGTCTCTGTATTTGACTGTCTTCGTCTCTGTCTTCGTCTTACTGTCTTCTTCGTCTCTGTCTTCGGCTTCGGTCTGCTTCTGTCTCTGTCTTCTGTACCTCTGCTGTCTCTGTCTCTGTCTTCTGTATCTGTCTTCTAGTCTTGTTAGTCTGTTTCTGTCTGGTTTTTCTGTCTTCTGTCTGTTCTGGTCTGTTCTGTCCTGTGTTGTCTCTGTCTTCTGTCTCTGTATGCTCTCTCTGTCTCTGTCGTGTCTTCTGTCTCTGTCTTCTATCCTGTCTTCGTCTTCTGTCTCTGCTCTTCTGTTCTGTCTCTGTCTCTGTGTTCTTCTCTGTCTCTGTCTCTGTCTTCTGTTCTGTGTGTAGTCTTGCTTCTGTCTCTGTCTTCTGCTGTCTTGTCTTCTGTCTGTTTATCCTATGTCTTCTGTTATGTCTTCTGTCTCTGTCTCGGTCTCTGCTGTGGGTTTTGTCTCGGTGTTTGTCTGCGTGTTCTTGGTTCGTGTTCTATTCGTCTTTGTCTCGTCGCTGTCTTTGTCTCTGTCTTCTGTCTTCTCTCTGTCGTCTGTCTTCTGTCTTCTGTCTCTGTCTTCTCTGTCTATGTGTTCTATCTCTGTCTTCTGTCTATGCCTTCTGTCTCTGTTTCTGTCTTCTGTCTCTGTGTTCTATCTCTGTGTTCTGTGTTCTATCTCTGTGTTCTGTGTTCTATCTCTGTCTTCTGTCTTCTGTCTTCTGTCTCTGTCTTCTGTCTCTGTCTTCTGTCTTCTGTCTTCTGTCTATGTGTTCTATCTCTGTCGTCTTCTTCTGTCTCTGTTTCTGTGTTCTATCTCTGTCTTTCTGTCTTCTGTCTTCTTCTCGGTCCCTCTGTCTTCTGTCTCTGTCTTCTGTCTAAGTGTTCTATCTCTGTCTTCTGTCTATGTCTTCTGTCTCTGTTTCTGTCTCTGGTCTTCTGGTCTTTCTATCTCTTGTTCTGTGGGTTCTATTCTCTGTCCTCCTGTCTTGTGTATGATCTCTGTCGTCTGTCTTTTTGTCTCTGTAATTTTCTGTCTCTGTCTTTCTGGTCTCTGGTATTCTGTGTTCGATCTCTGTGTTCTGGTCTCTGTGTTCTGGTCTCTGTGTTCTATCTCTGTGTTATGTCGTCTGTCTCTGGCTTCTGTCTTCCTGTCCTCTGGTCTTTCTGTCTCTGTCTTCTGTCTCTGTCTCTGTCTTGTCTTCTGTCGTCCTGTCTCTGTCTCTATGTGTTCTGTTACTGTGTTTCTGTCTCTGTGTTCTATCTCTAAGCTGGGAGGAGAGATAGGGTGAGGAAGGGAGTGGATAAATACTTAGCAGTAGCTTATTACAACATAACCCAGTCAGCTGTAACTGAACATGAGCAACGTTCGACATCTTTACATCTCTCTATTTCCCTTCTCTACAGTGGGAGGAGATAGGTGAAGTGGATGAGAACTATGCTCCGATCCACACGTACCAGGTGTGTAAAGTGATGGAACACAATCAGAACAACTGGCTCCAGACCAACCTTATCCTCAACGAGGGGGCTCAGAGGGTGTTTGTGGAGCTGCAGTTCACTTTGAGGGACTGTAACAGCCTTCCGGGCGGTGTGGGGGACCTGCAAGGAGACCTTCAACATGTACTACTACGAGTCTAACGAGGAGGAGGGGAGCAACGTCAGGGAGAGCCAGTACTCTAAAGTAGACACCATCGCTGCTGACGAGAGCTTTACGGAGTTAGACCTGGGAGACAGAGTGATGAAGCTGAATACAGAGGTTAGGGATCTGGGGCCGTTGATGAAGAAGGGGTTCTACCTGGCGTTTCAGGACCTAGGGGCCTGTATAGCCCTGGTCTCTGTCAGAGTGTTCTATAAGAAGTGTCCCTTTGAGTGGGAACCTAGCTCAGTTCCAGGACACTTAAAAGGGTCGGATCCTCCAGCTGCTGGAGGTGGCAGGGAAATGCGTTTAACAACTCGGTGGCGGAGGACCTACCAGGGTGCACTGCGCCAGGGGAGGGGGAGGGCTAGTGCCCAGGAAAGTGTATGGCCAGGCCCGGGGTTTGGGAGTGAATGACAGTTGTCAAGGTAGGTACTGAATCTAATTGTTATTACACCCAAGAGGGATAACCTAAATTTAGGCTGGCCAGCAAGGAACATTCAAAATCCCGAATATTTGCATGGAAGTTTGAAAAGACACGATTCATGGGGGAGTGTGGCACATTTCTCCTAGCCCAGTCTGAATAGTATAGCCTAAGTATGGGCAGCTTATTCCCACCCTGATAAGGTATGTTTCTGCCTCTGTACTGTGGGATGAGATGGGGAGGCTAATGGGATGTGTTCATATCATAATAAGGACATGCATAGACAAACACAGTATTACACTTCAAATGTTTTTCTCCTAATGAACAATACCATCATTAAACTTATGTTATAGCTGTTATGGTGACCTTTGATGTTAACAAGGAACCTGTTAGCTAGCTAAAGGCTATCAACCATGATTAGTGCTCAGAAGAAGTGGTCGGGATGAAGTGAGTGAGTGCCAACTGCTGCCTCTCTCTGTGTGTGTGTGTGTGTTGAGTGACTGTCTGAGTGTGTGTGTGTGTGTGTGTGTTGAGTGACTGTCTCAGTGTGTGTGTGTGTTGAGTGACTGTCTGAGTGTGTGTGTGTGTGTGTTGAGTGACTGTGAGTGTGTGTGTTGAGTGACTGTCTGAGTGTGTGTGTGTGTTGAGTGACTGTCTGAGTGTGTGTGTGTGTTGAGTGACTGTGAGTGTGTGTGTGTGTGTGTTGAGTGACTGTGAGTGTGTGTGTTGAGTGACTGTCTGAGTGTGTGTGTGTTGAGTGAGTGTGTGTGTTGAGTGAGTGTGTGTGTGTTGAGTGACTGTGTGAGTGACTGTGTGAGTGACTGTGTGATGAATAACAGGGCTTAGAGGAGACACTAGGCATCAAATCACATGTTATTTATCACATGCTTCATAAACAACAGGTGTATAAAAGACCCCTGGGAGCCTGAAATCTTTCTGATTGAGAGGGGGTCAAATACTTATTTCCCTCATTAAAATGCAAATCAATTTATAACATTTTTGACATACGTTTTTCTGGATTTTTTTGTTGTTATTCTGTCTCTCACTGTTCAAATAAACCTACCATTAAAATTATAGACTGATCATTTCTTTGTCAGTGGGCAAACGTACAAAATCAGCAGGGGATCAAATACTTTTTTCCCTCACCTGTATGTACATGTAGGTAGGGATAAGTGACCAGGCAACAGGATAGATATAGACAGTAGCAGCAGTATACTGTAGGTAGGGGTAAAAGTGACTAGACAACAGGATAGATAATAGACAGTAGCAGCAGTATACTGTAGGTAGGGGTAAAGTGACTAGACAACAGGATAGATAATAGACAGTAGCAGCAGTATACTGTAGGTAGGGATAAAGTGACTAGACAACAGGATAGATAATAGACAGTTGCAGCAACGTATGTGATGAGTCAAAAGAGTTAGTGCAAAAAGGGTCAATGCAGATAGTTAAATAGTTAACCAATAGCTACCCAGACTAACTATTTAGCAGTCTTATGGCTTGTGGGTAGAAGCTGTTCAGGGTCCAGTTGGTTCCAGACTAGGTGCAACGGTACCACTTGGTGACATCAGCATGACCCAGACAGACTGCAGTCCTCTGGCACTATGATGCTGACTTCTCTGATGACCCAGACAGACTACAGTCCTCTGGCACTATGATGCTGACTTCTCTGATGACCCAGACAGACTACAGTCCTCTGGCACTATGATGCTGACTTCTCTGATGACCCAGACAGACTACAGTCCTCTGGCACTATGATGCTGACTTCTCCTCAACGTCTTTACTAAGAACTTAATAATTTAATGTTGGAACATCAAAACTCCATTATAGATACGCTGATTCTGGGAATATTATCCCAATGGTCGTTCAGTACATTTTCAAATGAAGCATCAAAATGGTGATGCCCCCATCTTCATTTCTAAAGTTCTGCATGCTTTTTTCTGCATTGTTGTCTCTCTGCCTGCTCCTATGTTGTACTGGGAGACTCCCCAGACAGCAGGCCTTACGGAGGACTCCCCAGAGAACAGGCCTTACGGAGGACTCCCCAGAGAACAGGCCTTACGGAGGACTCCCCAGAGAACAGGCCTTACGGAGGACTCCCCAGAGAACAGGCCTTACGGAGGACTCCCCAGAGAACAGGCCTTACGGAGGACTCCCCAGAGAACAGGGCCTTAACGGAGGACTCCCCAGAGAACAGGCCTTGCGGAGGACTCCCCAGAGAAAAGGCCTTACGGAGGACTCCCCAGACAGCAGGCCTTACGGAGGACTCCCCAGAGAACAGGCCTTACGGAGGACTCCCCAGAGAACAGGCCTTACGGAGGACTCCCCAGACAGCAGGCCTTACGGAGGACTCCCCAGAGAACAGCACTTACGGAGGACTCCCCAGAGAACAGGCCTTACGGAGGTCTCCCCAGAGAAACAGGCCTTACGGAGGACTCCCCAGAGAACAGGCCTTACGGAGGACTCCCCCAGAGAACAGGCCTTACGGAGGACTCCCCAGGGAACAGGCCTTACGGAGGACTCCCCAGAGAACAGGCCTTACGGAGGACTCCCCAGAGAACAGGCCTTACGGAGGACTCCCCAGAGAACAGGCCTTACGGAGGACTCCCCAGAGAACAGGCCTTACGGAGGACTCCCCAGAGAAACAGGCCTTACGGAGGACTCCCCAGAGAACAGGCCTTACGGAGGACTCCCCAGAGAACAGGCCTTACGGAGGACTCCCCAGAGAACAGGCCTTACGGAGGACTCCCCAGAGAACAGGCCTTACGGAGGACTCCCCAGACAGCAGGCCTTACGGAGGACTCCCCCAGAGAAGGAGGACTCCCCAGAGAAACAGGCCTTACGGAGGACTCCCCCAGAGAACAGGCCTTACGGAGGACTCCCCAGAGAACAGGCCTTACGGAGGACTCCCCATAGAACAGGCCTTACGGAGGACTCCCCAGAGAACAGGCCTTACGGAGGATCTCCCCAGAGGAACAGGCCTTACGGAGGACTCCCCAGAGAACAGGCCTTACGGAGGACTCCCCAGAGAACAGGCCTTACGGAGGACTCCCCAGAGAACAGGCCTTACGGAGGACCTCCCCAGAGAACAGGCCTTACGGAGGACTCCCCAGAGAAACAGGCCTTACGGAGGACTCCCCAGAGAACAGGCCTTACGGAGGACTCCCCAGAGAACAGGCCTTACGGAGGACTCCCCAGAGAACAGGCCTTCGGAGGACTCCCCAGAGAACAGGCCTTACGGAGGACTCCCCAGAGAACAGGCCTTACGGAGGACTCCCCCCAGACGAACAGGCCTCACGGAGGACTCCCCAGAGAACAGGCCTTACGGAGGACTCCCCAGAGAACAGGCCTTACGGAGGACTCCTCAGACGCAGGCCTTACGGAGGACTCCCCAGAGAACAGGCCTTACGGAGGACTCCCCAGAGAACAGGCCTTACGGAGGACTCCCCAGAGAACAGGCCTTACGGAGGACTCCTCAGAGAACAGGCCTTACGGAGGACTCCCCAGAGAACAGGCCTTACGGAGGACTCCCCAGAGAACAGGCCTTACGGAGGACTCCTCAGAGAACAGGCCTTACGGAGGACTCCCCAGAGAACAGGCCTTACGGAGGACTCCCCAGAGAACAGGCCTTACGGAGGACTCCCCACGGAGCTGCTAGCTGGTCTTACCATGCTGTTTGTTGCTCTGTTCTGTTCTCAGGCTACATACCAAATGGTCAAAAGTAGTGCACTATATAGGGAATAGGGTGCCATTTGTGATGCAGCCCTGTTCTCAGATGCTTCTGTTCTGTTAGTTCCATGTGGCTCAGTTGTTGGACAATGGCGCTTGCTATGCCAGGGTTGTGGGTTCGATTCCCACGGGGGACCAGTACGAAAATGTATGCACTCACTACTGTAAGTCGCTCTGGATAAGAGTGTCTGATAAATGTAAAATGTTGTCTGGTGTCTTTTTTTTTCTTTTTTTTTTCTTTTTTTTTCTCACCTTTATTTAACCAGGTAAACCAGTTGAGAACAGGTTCTCATTTACAACTGCGACCTGGCCAATATAAAGCAAAGCAGTGCAATAAAAACAACACAGAGTTACATATGGGGTAAAAAAAACATAAAGTCAAAAATACAACAGAAAATATATATACAGTGTGTGCAAATGTAGCAAGTTATGGAGGTAAGGCAATAAATAGGCTATAGTGCAGAATAATTACAATAGTATTAACACTGGAATGCTAGATGTGCAAGAGATTATGTGCAAATAGAGATACTGGGGTGCAAAAGAGCAAAATAAATAACAATATAGGGATGAGGTAGTTGGGTGGGCTAATTTCAGATGGGCTGTGTACAGGTGCAGTGATCGGTAAGGTGCTCTGACAACTGATGCTTAAAGTTAGTGAGGGAGATAAGAGTCTCCAGCTTCAGAGATTTTTGCAATTCGTTCCAGTCATTGGCAGCAGAGAACTGGAAGGAATGGCGGCCAAAGGAGGTGTTGGCTTTGGGAATGACCAGTGAGATATACCTGCTGGAGCGCAGACTACGGGTGGGTGCTGCTATGGTGACCAATGAGCTAAGATAAGGCGGGGATTTGCCTAGCAGTGATTTATAGATGGCCTGGAGCCAGTGGGTTTGGCGACGAACATGTAGTGAGGACCAGCCAACAAGAGCGTACAGGTCACAGTGGTGGGTAGTGTATGGGGCTTTGGAGACAAAACGGATGGCACTGTGATAGACTACATCCAATTTGCTGAGTAGAGTGTTGGAGGCTATTTTGTAAATGACATCGCCGAAGTCAAGGATCGGTAGGATAGTCAGTTTTACGAGGGCATGTTTGGCAGCATGAGTGAAGGAGGCTTTGTTGCGAAATAGGAAGCCGATTCTAGATTTAACTTTGGATTGGAGATTCTTTATGTGAGTCTGGAAGTTGAGTTTACAGTCTAACCAGACACCTAGGTATTTGTAGTTGTCCACATACTCTAGGTCAGACCCGTCGAGAGTGGTGATTCTAGTCGGGTGGGCGGGTGCCAGCAGCGTTCGATTGAAAAGCATGCATTTAGTTTTACTAGTGTTTAAGAGCAGTTGGAGGCTACTGAAGGAGTGTTGTATGGCATTGAAGCTCGTTTGGAGGTTTGTTAACACAGTGTCCAATGAAGGGCCAGATGTATACAAAATGGTGTCGTCTGCGTAGAGGTGGATCTGAGAGTCTGCTCTGTTGTGTCTGATGTGGTGCTGTGTTTCCGATGTTGTCTCCCTCTCTCTGTCAGAGCCAACAGCTTTACTCCCGTTCCCATGGTTACCACAAAAGACCTGTCCCTGTCTCCTCTCTTTGAGAAAATGTTACATTTGAAAATGTCTCTGTTTGTCCTCAGTTAGTGAGCTTGTTAAGTGGTAGGGGCAGGTGTTAGGTGTTAGACTAGGCTGTACCCTGACCTTTTCGGTCAAGTACATTCATAGTAGGCCTTTCATAGTATTTAATAAGGTAATATTATATATTCATATTATTATATTATTATCAATATTTTATAGTTGATATTAATATTAATAATGATTATAAATGTGTTAATCTGTAGGGTTTAAGGATGTATGTCTTTGAAGTCTATTTTTCCACTTTATTTGTATGAAAATGTATGCACTCACTAACTGTAAGTCGCTCTGGATAAGAGCGTCTGCTAAATGACAAAAAATGTAAAAATGTAAATTTGATATCAAACCCTCATAATTTTAGACTCAATGTTCCGAGCGACTGTTCGTATGTCATTATAGTGAAACGAAATAAACATCCTGAGGGTCATTCATCACTGTCCTAGATATCCAAGTCCCTAGACGCCAATTGGATGCCATTGGCTGCTCAGCCAGCATGAGATGATATAGACAGACCTCCACAATTTACCCCAATTTACCCCCACTGTTGCTACTACCACTACTACTACCACTGCTACCACTGCTACCACTACTACTACTGCTACTACTACTACTACTTACTACTACTACTACTACTACTAACGACTACTACTACTACTACTACTCTACTACCACTACTACTACTACCTACTACTTACCCCAACTACTACAAACTGCTACTACTCTACACTACTACTAACTATGTACACTACTGCTACCACTGCTTACACTACTACTATACTACTACTACGACTACTACTACTACTACGACTACTCCTACTGCTACTACTACTACTACGACTGCTACTACTACTACTACTACAACTAATACTACTAACGAATAATACTACTGCTACTACTACTACTACATATTACTACACTGACTACTACTTCTGAGTAACTACTACTACTACTGCTACTACTACTACTACTACTACTACTACTGCTACTAACTTCTGCTATTACTACTACTACTACTATTACTACTACTATACTAATACTACTACTGCTACTACTACTTACTGCTACTATCATATACTAACTGCTACCTATACTACTGCTACTACTGCTACTACTAAACTACTACTATTACACTACTACTACTACTACTACTACTACTACGACTACTCCTACTGCTACTACTACTACTACGACTGCTACTACTACTACTACTACAACTAATATACTACCTACGAATGAATAACTTACTGCTACTACTTACTACTACTAATACCTACTACTACTACTATACTACTGCTAACTACTCATGATGCACTTAACTACTATACTACTGCTATACTACTACTACTACTACTACTACTACTACTACTACTACTGCTACTACTTCTGATGTTACTACTACTACTACTACTATTACTACTACTATTACTAATACTACTACTGCTACTACTACTGCTGCTACTATTACTACTGCTACTACTACTACTACTACTACTCTACGCTACTCTGCTACTACTATTACTACTACTGCTAACTGCTACTGCTACTACATTACTACTACTACTACTTACTATACTATACTACCTACTGCTACTACTACTACTACTACTCTTACCACTACTACTACTGCTACTACTACTACTACTGCCTACACTGCTACTGACTGCTACTACTACTCTACTACTACTACTGCTACTTCTACTACCGCTACTACTACTACTGCTGCTGCTGCTGCTGCTGCTACTACTACTACTACTATTACTACTGCTACTACTACTACTGCTACTACTACCACTATTACCACTATTACTACTATTACTACTGCTACTACTATTACTGCTGCTACTATTACTGCTGCTACTACTATACTGCTACTACTACTACTACTACTACTACTACTATACTACTACTAACTACTACTACTATTACTACCGCTATTACTACTGCTACTACTATTACTACTGCTACTACTACTGCTACTGCTGCTACTACTACCACTGCTACTACTACTACTACTATTACTACTATTACTACCGCTACTGCTACTACTATTACTACTGCTAATACTACTGCTACTGCTACTGCTGCTACTACTACTACTACTACTGCTACCACTACTGCTACTACTACTATTACCACTACTACTGCTACTACTACTGCTACTACTACTTCTACTGCTACTGCTGCTGCTGCTACTACTACTACTACTATTACTAATACTACTACTGCTACTACTACTGCTGCTGCTGCTACTACTGCTACTACTACTGCTACTACTATTACTACTGCTACTGCTGCTACTACTACTACTACTACTATTACTACCGCTACTACTACTACTACTGCTACTGCTACTACTATTACTACTGCTACTGCTGCTACTACTACTGCTACTACTATTACTACTGCTACTGCTGCTACTACTACTACTACTACTATTACTACCGCTACTATTACTATTACTACTACTGCTACTACTATTACTACCGCTACTACTACTGCTACTACTATTACTACTGCTACTGCTGCTACTACTACTACTACTACTACTACTACTACCGCTACTACTACTACTACTGCTACTGCTACTACTATTACTACTGCTACTGCTGCTACTACTACTACTACTACTACTACTATTACTACTACTACTACTACTACTACTATTACTACTACTGCTACTACCGCTACTACTATTACTACTGCTACTGCTGCTACTACTACTACTACTGCTACTACTACTACTACTATTACTACCGCTACTACTACTGCTACTACTATTACTACTGCTACTGCTACTGCTACTACTGCTGCTACTACTACTACTATTACTACTGCTACTACTACTTCTACTGCTACTACTACTACTATTACCACTACTACTACTACTACTACTATTAATACCGCTACTACTACTGCTACTACTATTACTACTGCTACTATTACTGCTGCTGCCACTACTACTACTACTACTACTACTATTACTACTGCTACTACTACTGCTACTACTACTGCTACTACTACTACTACTGCTACTGCTGCTACTACTACTCAAATCAAATCAAATCAAATTTTATTGGTCACATGCGCCGAATACAACAGGTGCAGACATTACAGTGAAATGCTTACTTACAGCCCTTAACCAACAGTGCATTTATTTTAAACAAAAAAAGTAAAAATAAAACAACAACAAAAAAAGTGTTGAGAGAAAAAGAGCAGAAGTAAAATAAAATAACAGTAGGGAGGCTATATATACAGGGGGGTACCGGTGCAGAGTCAATGTGCGGGGGCACCGGCTAGTTGAGATAGT